GAAGTGCCCTTGTCTCTTTGCCTGTGTATATGCTTTTATGTGGGTAGCTTTGCAAGCCAAACCAACCACTTACCAAGTAAGGATTTTAACCTTTTTTTACATAATAAACACATTTGATATTATTCAATTGGAGGTCCTGTCTCTCTCTATCCTCTATCTTGCACAGCTACATCAAGCTTTCTGTGGACAGACTGACTGAAGTCATCTTTAGTGTGGGAACATTCTCTCTCCAGAGGAGCTTTGAATACCCAGAGCCAGGGGTGATAGGGCTCTGGTACATGTGAGTTCTCTCGCTCATATCTCCAGCTGCATTTTTGGTGCTAATTCAGATAGTCTGCACTACTATTTGTGTCTCTCTCTATATTTTTACAGACTTCTTAGCGCGCTTTTTTGGTAATTATATATTTTGTATACATCTTGGTGTATCACTGTTTTAAGTGACGCTCATTTGTCTGTACCACACTCTATAGTGCTTACACACCTGTGGTTCTTAAAGAACTGAATAGGACAATGAATTTTAAATGTATAAAAAGTGAATAGTATACAATCAAAAATAAATATTTGGGGGGGGGCGGGATGGGGCAGGGTTGGGCCGCCATAGCGGATATCCGCCTGTCAGAAGTGCTCCTAAAGGTTCTGGCCTCTACTCGACGACTATCACACTGTTCCACTTACCTTGAGTCAGAATCCTGATGTCTACGATGCAGGCAGCTACTGGGGTTGCTGACAGGCCCAAGATCGGGAGTTTTATGGCCCCTTGAGGGGGAATCGAGACTGCAGCCTACAGGGGCGGGGAGTGAAGTGGACGGCCGCTGCTTTGCTCATCTGCCTTTGCTGCATATCGGATTCTACCATCTTGCTGGTCCCCCCACCGCCCTTTGGGCCGGTGGGTCTTATCCCGTCCCCCATTAGAGGACCCAGAGTCAGTCCAGCGACCGATACTCATCAGGCCTGCTGTGAGTGCACCAGCGACTCAAACCTAAGATGGTGGTCGCAAAGGTCCCTCCAGACCCAGCAACAATGTTCAGCCTGCAGGATGGCCCTAACATGAAGGGATTACCTGGCACCCGAGATTGGCCTCACAGCTGCTTACCCAGGCATCGAGCCCTGCGGAGAGGAACACCTCATCGCAGCCCTTCACACAGATGGGAACGCCACCAGGGCCAATTCAGGGATACCGACTATGGCTCACTGAAAGGCCAGATCTGAGGGTAACAGAAGCGTGCTCGTACAATGCCATGAGGCTGGTGGAGCGGAGCTAGCTGGACTGGTTGACATGCTGGAACTTTGCCATTAGTCAACAGACTTGCTGGAGGTTGGAGGGAGATAAGGAGCATTTATATAATTGCAAGCTCTCTGTAATCATTTATTGGGTCGCATGGTGGCTTGGGGCTCTAGTGTTTTTTTTGCTTTGTTTATTTCTATTCTGGGCTTATCTTTTAGTTTATGTTGTATTAGGCAAAGTTAAGCTATATTTCATCAAATTCTATTGCTGGGATTGAGAAGATACTATTACCTTGTTATAATACCAAGCCGTCACACCATCCTATCCTATCATGAGAGTGCCCTCTTAGATCAGTTCATTGCAGGCTGACCTCTAAGGTATTTGAGTGTTGGGTTGGTGTGGGCTACCAGGCAATCGAAATTGATATTTCATTTTTTTTTATTTTTGTTATATACTTGTTTTACTATACTTGCCTACAAATCAGCATCCAGTGAGAGGTTTCTATTTCTACTCTGTATTTTTATTCTTACATTTACTCTTCTCTCTGTGCACTTGCCCGATTTTACTTTTGCATTTAATAACCATCCTATAGGGTGGAAAGACATTCTGTTGTTGCTAAGCTTATCAGTGCATATGCTTCACTTGGTTCCTCTAGTTTTGTTTAAAACGCCAAGCACTGTGTCTTTTTTCCTGCTATAATTGTTAAAAATGTGCATTATTAACGATATGCCACACAATTGTACTATTATGCCTTTTGAATTGTTTGCTATAGCTATTGTGGCTCTGCAAGTATGTTTGTAACAACATGCACAACAAAAATAAAGAATGAAAAAGAAGAAATATTTGAATGCTTACAGAAATCACCCACATTTAAACAGCATTTCAAAAAGATCTCCAAAAGTCATACATGGAACGGAATTGCAATGAATAAATATTTAGGGTATTTATAGTAATCCATGAAGTATGTACTATATTATAACACAGAAATGCAGTGCCACCACCCTACGTTAAGTGTACCTCACATTCACAAATAAACTGTTAAGACAAAAAAGTAATATATACGCCCCCCGTGAGGAAGTATAAAGAGGAGGGTGGTATAGCACAATATGATATATAGAGGATAAAAGCTGAGAAAACAGGATGGAATATTGTACAGATCTGAAAATACAAAAATTACATATAGTGAAGTATGTAAAAGCTGGATAGCTAACTCCAGGAGGTAGAGAACTTAAACATAAAAAATCTGTGCATATCTCCCCTCAGGGGTGTCTTTAGATGATGAAAATCCTTCCAGCTGGATAAATCCTAAGGAGGACAAAAAAGAGAGTGCAGATAGTACAATACTGTTTAAAATATAACAAATTTAGTCACTTATTGACTGCGGGTACCGCAGTGGTGACAAGGTACAGGAGGAAGGTGGGTGGAGAGAATGACACACATGGAGGCGCTCCTCTTTCACCCATCCCTGGCCCAAGGTAAGCCTCAGGGGATATGTGTTTGTTTGTTTTTAATCCAAATCTATTTTACAGCCCCTGTCTATCCCCCCCCCCTTTGCCCCATCACAGCCCCTGTGTCCCCATCTAAAGCTCCTGTGCCCCCACCACAGCCCCTGTGCCCCCTATAGCTGCAGCTCCTATCACCCTCTAGAGCTCCTGTGCCCCCTCTCGGTCCCTGTGCCCCCTACTCACCACAGCCCCTGCTCTCCAGCTCTTGTCGCCCCTTCAGCTTCTCTCTCCAGCTCCTGTCCCCCCACTCCATCTCCTGCCCCCCCTCCAGCACATATCCCCTCTAGCTCCAGTCCACCCCTTCTCCAGCTCCTGTCCCCAGCTCCTGCCCCCCCCTACAGCTCCTGTGGCCTCCCTCTACAGCTCATTTATCCCCATCTCAAGGCTCACAGCCCCTGTGCCCCTCTCTAGAGCTCTTGTCCATCTCACCACAGCCCCTGTGCCCTTGTCACCCTTCCACAGCTCCAGTCACCCCTCTCTCGAGCCCCTGTGTCCACATCTCCAGTCCCTGTGTCCCCCCTCTCCAGTCCCTGTCCCCCTCTTTCCAGCCCCTCACTCCCACCCTCCCCACCCTCCCCACTAGACATCCCTCCAACTACAGCCTCTATCCCCCAAGTGCAGCCCTAACCTACTTTTACACCCTGTATCCCTCCAACTACATTCCTCCAACTACAGACCCTATTCCATAACTAAAGTCCCATTTCATCCCCATCACAACCCCTCTTCCCCAATTACAATCCATATCACCCACACCACAGCCCCTTTTCCCAAATTATAGCCATTAACCTACTTCATTCCCTATCCCTGCCACTACATTTCCTAACCTCCCAATTACAGCCCATACCCTCAACTACAGCCTTTAACCCTCAGCTACAGCCCCTAGCCCCCTACTACAGGCCCTGTGACCCCCTCTAGTGCCCCTGTGCCCCCCACCACAGCCCCTGTCCACCCCTCTCAGCCCCTGGGGGGAAGAGACACACAAAGTGGCTGAGATACACAAGGAAGGTTGGAAGAGACACACAAGTGGGTGTAAGACATTGTAAAAGGGGGATGAAATACAATAAAGAGAGTAAAAATTTCAAAAGGATGGTTACTAGACACACAGATGAAGACGCATTTTGTAAGGGGGCGGGGCATCAATATGCGACTTTGTCTGTGTAGCTAAAAATCCTTGCACTGGCCCTTGTTGGGAATGAAACACATTGGAGGGCTGGAGCCTGGGGGGTTAGACACATGTGGGGCCCAGTGCTATTTTCGCCTCTGATTGATGTTGTTTTTCTAGTTTTTTTTACTTTGGCTCAGAGCTTGACTTTATTGTTAGCCTTAACCTGGGCTTGATATACATATGTTTATTATGAACAAAGAAATTTTAAATAAAACCTGCTAAACTACATATTCCATAAACCAATGCTGCACATTAATAATTTAAACTTGCCAAATGCTCTTATTGGAAACAATTAAATAAATAGGATTGGATGAAAAACTGTCTCTTCTTGATCTCTGTATATCCAGAAAAAGGTTTGAAGAATCGATGAGGACTTGGAATTTGGCATTGCTTGAGTTGTAGAATATCTTTGTTACAGTT